GTGGCTGGTGGGAATGAGAGCTACGAGTCGTTCTTTACTTGAGTGTGGATGAGAATTTCCTGAAGGCCCCGTTAAGTCTTTTTTTTTTTTTAATATTTTTGTTTGTTATTATTACTTTTTATGTGGTGCTGAGGATTGAACCCAGTACCTCATGCTTTCGAAGTAAATGCTCTACCACTGAGCTACAACCCCCAGCCCCTATTAAGGGGGATTCTCAGTAGGTCTATTAAGCCCCTATTAAGGGGGATTCTCAGTAGGTCTAGGATATGGCCCCAAATAATGCATCTGAGCAGCTCTAGTGTTGCTTGCATCTGGTGGTGGAGATCAGGGATCACCCTTCTGCTCCTAGTAGGAAGCGAAGGCTGGAGGGCTAGAGTGATTTTTCAGATAGAAAGTAAGAGGGGTGGGACACAAAGGCTTTGGAAGTCTCAAAGGTAGTGGTCAAAATTTCTTGGTCTTTGACATCTATCTTGTGCTAAAAGTATGAACATCCATAAAATTAAACAACCAATATAAAAAGAAGCAAAAGAAAACAAAAAGTAAAGGAAGAGTCTCAAGAAAAAAACTAATGTGGTTGATAGTGACAGCAATGAAAACTGTATTTGCTTTACAATCACTCCATGTATTTGAATGTTACAAAGACCTATCTGGAGGGGCTGAGGACTGTTCAGGACAGGTGACCTCATCACCTGGCCAGACAGGAAACTGCAGTCCCAATTTCTTACCATCAACTCCTGTTTCTTCTCATAGGGTCCAGACAGGTATGGTTCTCAACTTTACTTGTTGAACTGGATCCTCCCCCTATAATATCACTCGAAAAAGTTAACCAAGCTACTCTTGTCTATCGTGTAGTTGTTAAAATTATTCTTAAAAATCTACTCGACAACCCATGTCCTCTTTATAACAAGGCTTATTTTGGGTACAAATGCAATGTTCTAAAAAAAAAAAAAAGTAAATACAAATAAACCTTTAGAACATAATACATTTTATTCAGGGATGCCCTTGTGCATTAATTTTATTTATCTGTATGTTGTAAGATATACCAATCGGCAATGGTATTTACCAATAACAATTTATTTCTCAGGCTGAGGATGTAGCTCAGCTGGTACAGTGCTTGCCTCACTTATACAAGGCCCTGGCTCACTCTCTCTTTAAAAAAAAAAAAAAAAAAAAAAAAAAAATCTTCCTCATTTCCCCAAAGGAATGAGAAAATGAAAGACTTCAGTAAATGTACCTCTTCATTTCAAATATGAACAAGCCTTTTTCTTTGTGTGTGTGGTGTTGGGAATTGAATCCAGTGTTTTGTGTATGCAAGGCACATGCTACTACTGAGCTAGATTCTCAAGGTTCCCCAAACATGAACAATTGTGAATCTCTTGTTAAGGACTTGTAATTCTTTACCTATGGAGACTATACAAAATGAAATGACCAGATAAACATTTAGAGGTTTAATCATGAATGGTTTCAAAATCAGAAATATGAATGTAAATATCCAAGTTTTTATTACATAAAAATCCAAAGAAAACAAACTATATATGATTATAGCAGAATGTAAGGATATGTAGAATTGTGATTATCGCGATGAAAACTGATCAGTTCAGATCTGATGAGAATCTTGGTATTTTGACTGCCTTGTGTCTATTTCTTGGAATGTCCTCTCATCTTTTTTTTTTTTTTTAAGTATTTTTTTAGTTGTAGATAGACACAGTAACTTTATTTATTTTTATGTGGCATTGAGGATTAAACCCAGGGCCTCACACATGCTAGGCAACCTATCCCTGTAGAATAGCTTTTTTTTTTTTTTCCTTTATTTTGTGGTGCTGGGGATTGAACCCAGGGCCTTGTGCCTGCAAGACAAGCACTGTACCAACTGAGCTATCCCCCCAGCCCCTCTCCCCATCTTTGATAATACAGTGTGAATTACCAGAATATTCCAGATTCGAGGAAAGAGTGATCCTGAGTGATTTGCAAGGAAAGAGTAAGTGACAGAGTGGAATAAGAAACTCGTTTTCCTAATTGTCAGTTTAATACTTATTCTAGGCTGCATTATCTGGGTTGCCCCAAGGCAAACCATGTCATTGCCTTTCCCATTTTAGAAAGAGATTCTACGAAAGTTTCCTTTGTGGCCTGATGGCAAAAGACACCTATTATTTTAAGAAATGCCAACTGCTGATCATTAATGACAAAATGTTTTTACATGTTCCTCATGGGTTCAAGTTGGCCTCCATTTCTTCAAATAGCTCCCTTTCTAAGTTTGGTAAGAGCAATCAGAGATTACTGGCTGTTAAAGAGGAGAGGGGCCTTAGATATTAGTTTTCCTGTTGTCTTGGTGGAGAAAGCAGGCCCATGGAGATCACTCCAGAGTCACACTGAGTTGGTGGGTGTCTTCTGACCTCCAGGGCAGAGCTGTGTATAGCACAGAACACTGTCTCCATGCCCAGAATCTTAAGCCACAGCATAATGAGAGGATGTTCATGGGACCCTCAGTCCTGATCAGACCATCAGTGCGGGGAGTCTGTGTGTATTTTACCTTTTCATTTTTGTCATCTGTTTATTAGGTGTGCTTTGAGTTTGCTCCCTGATGTTTTAGAGGTAGGAATAGTCAGAAGGAGCAAACCAGTAAGTGACAAATGCAATTTTAAAATTTATAAAAAAAAAATTTAAGGAAAAATGAAGGAAGTAAGGCTAACTGGAGTTAAGTAAAATTGCAATTGTCCAGTGTCCCAAGGGAGTAGACAACCTCTTACTATCAAGACCTCTGCTCTTGCGTTCTGATGGGGTTATCTCATTTCTCTTAAACAACTCTTCAGGTTAGGGGACAGCAGTTAACCTCATTCTATTACCCAGAAATAAACTGAAGCCCCGAGTTCTGTAACTTACCAGCCGGCCACTCAAGTTGGTAACTAGTAGTGGAGGCAGACCTAACTGTTTGGCTATGAAGTCTTTGTACTTTTTCTTCTACACAGAAAGAAAGTGTGTAAGGTGAACCAAGGAAAATAATAACTGTAGGCAATATCAATCTCATAATAGTTATGATGATGGTTAAATTAGTGCTTTACATATGTGCTCTCTATGAAAAGGATTAAGAGAACACATGAATAGGACTGGTAGGGAGTCTACACTCTTCATTAGGGAAACAGGAGAGGCAAAAAGAGGATATATTTTAAGATTTCTATTGGTTTACTTTGTTTCCTGAAAAATAATTGGAAGGCTCAATTAGTTTTGTTTTGCCATTTATCAGATTAGAATGTTCTGGATGTAGGTGGGTGGGATGGGTGTGATTGTGTGAGATCAAATCTGATTTAATCAGAATTATTCCAGGGGCTGGGGATGTGGCTCAAGCTCGCCTGGCATGCGTGTGCGGCCCGGGTTCGATCCTCAGCACCACATACAAACAAAGATGTTGTGTCCGCCAAGAACTAAAAAAAATAAATAAATGTTAAAATTCTCTCTCTCTCTCTCTCTCTCTCTCTCTCTCTCTCCTCTTTCACTCTCTCTTAAAAAAAAGAAAAAAAAAGAGTTATTCCAGTGTATAAAGTATACCTTTTGGGTTCAATATTAAATTTTGCAATTAGTAATCACTGTTCCTATTTGGTGAATGGGAGTTTTAATCTGTACTTTTTTCCTTTTGAAGATGAATGTCACATACAAGGTTATTTCCTTTGCAGATGCATGAAGGGAGTACTTAACCCTCCAAATAAAACCAAGTTTACATTCATTCTGTGGGAAATCAGAAACTACTCAGTCTTACACACACACACTCACAAATCCCGAAAATGAACCTTCAAGAACTGATTTTTTTATCACTCTGAAGTCCCAATGTTAACATTAGGCTCAATCCTCATATTTGGAAGGAGATGTTCAGTTGATACCCTGTGTAACATAACTTGGAGATGGTGTCCATTCAGAATCGCTATCTTTTAACGGCCACTTGCCATTAATCAGTTCAATACAGATTTAGGTAGAGATGGGGTTTGGGTTCCAGAATTGGAATTATCTATTTAAAAATGTCACTTGAATCCACAACTCCTTAAAACTGTTACTACGAAACAAAAGAACTATTTATCTTGCCGTTCAGCTTCAACATAAAATCTTTCACCGAAGTCACACCCCTCAAGAGCCACGTTTTTAATCTACTTAATTTTAAGCTAATTCGAAAGAATCCATCTCGACGTCAGACAGGAGTTGGAACTGGGACAGCAGCTGGAAGGGGTAAGCTGAATCCCCGCCTCGCGGCCTGCGGAC